AATCATTATGCAATCATAGTATTTAATGCAATTGGAAGATACAAGAACAAAAACGCAGCAATTGAGATTATAGATAATCGAAGTGATAACCTTATTAAATTTAATAACAAAGAAAATTTGTTGGTAAGTAATTTATATATTTTAATTTTAAATATTGAATTTAATTTATAATAATAAATTTGATATGATTTTTTTTTTGGCTGATGTTGTCCAAAAATGTTATAAGTTTTTCAAAAATATAAAATCCTTTAACTATAATACTTGGGGGAAGCCTGTATATTGCAATTTTAGATGGAAGTCAACCACTGAAGGTGAAGATTGCAGTCTATATGCCGTCAAGGTTATGGAGTTATATAATGGTGGTTTTGATGAAAAACACTCTGAACTAAGTTCTGTAATATTTTAGACTTATTTTATTTTATTTCTTATAAAAATGTATTTTTCTGATTTTTAACTTATATATATTCCTTTTTTGTTTTAACAGGAAATAAATAGGAAATTGTTTAGATGTAAGCTTGCCATTGAATTGGTGTTTCTTTGACAGCACCGTTATCTTCCTGAAATTACAAAGGACCTTGCTAGCTTTTGTGAAAAGATACTTGAGATTTTAAAAAAGAAGAACCAAAGGAAGAAAGAAGATAATGAGTTATATGCAAAAATATTATTGTTGGAGCAAAAGAAAAAGCAAAAGCAAAGGTCTCTTGAAAAACTTAAGCATGTAGAGGATAAAGAGGAAGATAATGAGTAGTATATATATATATATATATATATATATATATATATATATATATATATATATATATATATATATATATATATATATATATATATATATATATATATATATATATATATATATATATATATACTCCCTCCGTTTATTTTTATTTGCAACTTTTGCCATTTTAGTCTGCTCACAATTATGTGCAACTTTCTATTTTATTTCCATTTTGGGTAAACAAAAATCCGAAAAATTACTATTTTACCCTTACTTTTCCCACTACTTTTCCTAGTGGTGGGCCAAACTTCCTCTCTCCAAACACTTTAATGACTTTCAATTAACCCATCTACTATTTGCCCCTTAACTTTTGCCTCATGAACCGCAAATCATACCAAAGTTGCAAATAAAAATAAACGGAGGGAGTATATATATATATATATATTGTATAGGTTTTAGCTTAAAGAATATAGAAAATACATATTATTATACATGTAAATTTTGATTTAGATGGATAATATGAATTTATAAATACAGAATTTTATTGTAAATAATGCATTTAAAGTAATATATGATTTCATTTATTCTCAAATTAAATGATTTTTTCTAGTTTGATTCGATGGATGATATGTATAATATGATAGCTTATATGTATTTCAATTTAGATTACATTTATTATACCATAGATGATATTATATGATAGTTGATTGTCTTATATGTATTTTATAGTGGCTGATATGTTTCTTCAATTGGATGAAGTGATTTTTGTTGGCTTAAATGGTTTTTTAAATGGCTGATATATTTATTCTGTTTTATGATATAATAATTTTCCAACCTTATAAGATAATTATGTTGCCTGATATGATACTTGATTGGCTGATATGATTCCTTCGTTGTTGATAGTTGTTTGTTTTATTAATGTTTCAATATAAATTGCAAGACTTATACAGTATATGTTAAAATATGTAGCTAACTGATAATTGTCTTATATTGGCTGATATTTTTTTTTTCTTTTAGCTTTTAATAATATGTTAATGGCTAAAATCTATTTTTTTTCTCTTAAATGATTTTTTAAATGAATGATATCTTTACTCTGTTACCTGATATCATAAGTTAGTTGGCTTAAATGATACTAATATTCGCTTATATGATTATATTTGTTTTGTTACCTTATATATGCTATGTATAAAATGATATCAATTTACTGTTGGCTGAAATTAATGTATTGATGATTGATAGTAGAAAATTGTTCGCTGATAAATATTACATATGTCACATATATATCAAATACATATTATTATTATTGCATATCACATACATATATAAATATTATTATTACAGAATGTATGAAAACCTATACATTAATACCATTTTCGGCTTCAGTAGGAAGCCTTTCATTACCATCATCACTACAAACTCTAATGTATAAACTTGCATCATTATCGTGATAAATATCCAGTCTTTCTCCAGCAAACAATATTATTGGAATCTAAAAAGCCAGTCCGTCCTTCATCAACAAAACAACCACCAACGCTTCTTGTATCTTGTGGTACACATATCACTTTTACCTCCCAAAAACGTCCATTATTCCCACGATAGACTCTAACTGGACCTCTAAATCTAAAAAGAATTCTTTTCCATATTGCAGGAAGTGGCTGAAATAAAAAACACAAAAAAAATAAAAAGTTATATATTTAATAATACTGAAAACTAATGTATAAGCTCAAAAGTTAAATTATTTACCAGACTAAGCCTATAAGGAGTTCTGTAATTCGCAGAACATGATAACATATTTGCATAAAAATCATCCATTGCCTTCAAGATTTTGTAGAATAGAAAAATATAAGTTAATTAATAATATATGTTTCAACCTTTATATAGAAACAATAGAGCTTATTAAAGAAAGTCTTTTTATAGAAAAAGCTTAAATTAAAACAACCTTTATATAGAGAAGACTTATGTATGAACATCAATTATTATAACATATAATGTAAACTAATTAATTTACACTGTAAAAACTTGTGTATGACTTTATTCATAATGTAGAAAACCATTATGACTTTAATTAGATTTGATTAAATTATTTTTTAGAAATATTAATATTACCAAAAAAAATGGGGCCATGCATGCATTGCTGATATGTGTATACAGTATATAGATAACTATTATCTTATTAGATTGCCGACATTGATTGGTACAGATTATATATGAATATCATGACTTTTATAAAAATGGAGATATTTTTATTAAGATAGTTGATATGTGTCGAAAAATAGATTATATAAATTATAAAATAGTTAATATAAATTTGTGTGTATGTCATATACTACAGGTTTAATAATATGTCACCTATTACAAAAGTAATATGTCTAATATTTCTTAGCTGTTAGCTTATATATTCCTATTGTTGACTAATATCATTTAAAAGTTGGCTTAGTGTACAAGTCATGTAATTTATATTGAAACATCAACAAAATAACCAAATAACCAACAATGAAGGAATCATATCAGCCAATAAAAATATCATATCACACAACATAAGTATCATATAGGCTTAGAGATTGATTATATTAGACAACAAAATAAATATATAAGTTATTCAAAAAACCATTTAAGCCAACTTAAATGACATTAGCCAATTGAAGAAATATATTAGCCAATATAAAATATATATAAGTCAATGTCAGATAACCTATAATATTATTTATTGTATAATATATGTATAAAAATAACAAGTTTTCATTAACATTCATTTCTGAATATCATATATTCAAAAATTTTAATTACTATAAAATATAATTTTCATATATTTTTAGGAATTTTCATAGATTCGAAAATCAATATTCTAAAAATTCATTACGAAATTGAGAAATTAAACCTAACAACTTAAAAAATAAATAAAAAAAACCCCTAGAATCTTAATCTTCTTCATCATTCTTTTTAAGATTTAAAACTTGTTTTTTCTTCTGATCTTTTTCTTCTTTCTTCTTTTGTTCTTTTTCTTCTTTCTTTCTCTTGTTTTGTGCTTCCTATAATTTGTCATGTTCTCTCTTTCTCTTCCTCAGTTCTTTGATTTCATTCTTTTCCACTTTTTCATAGAGCTTCATCAGTTTGTCTTTCACCCTATCTCTTCTTTAGAATAGATCATTAAATCTTTTTTCCCAGTTACCCATTACATTTTCTTCTGGATCGTTTGATGAAGTTGAAGATTGAGAATTGTTTTTCATTTTTGAGAAGTAAAAGAAAAAAGGTTTATTTTAGGGGAGAGAATATTTAAAACATGCGAAATTTGTGAGGAATCATATTATTTTATAGGAAAATAGAAAATTAAAATAAAAAACCTATCTTATTTGTTTTTCCCTTTTTCTCCTTGTTGTTCATTTTCTTTTCTTTGTTTTATACGAATTATTGTATATACTTAGGTTGGCTGTTTCATTATAGTTTCTTCTTTTAGCTTAAATATTTATTTCGTTGGCTCATATCATTCATTCATGAGCTGATTTGTTTCTTTTGTGCAGCTAATTTGATTATTTTGTTGGCTGATTTGTTACTTGTGTTGGATTTTATATTATATATGTTAGCTTAAATGATTCTATTATTGGCTTATATTATTGTCATCTTGACTTAAACGGTATGAATTATACTTAGTTTGGTTGATCATTAATTTTTTTTATTAAATGCTTTTATAAATGGGTGGAATCATTCCTTTGGCTATTATCAATACTTTGGATTATATGGTATATCTAATATATAATACTTGATAGATAATATAAATACTTGGTAAATTGATTTGTTTTTTAAGATAGAATGTTGTTAATTAATTTGTGATATTTATCATAGGATTAATGGTTCACTACTAGAAAAAGGGTCTTTAACGACGAAAAATTGTCGTTAAAACTTGCAACGACGGAAAAATGTTCGTCATTTGTTCGTTGTAATAGGCTCCATCGTTATTGGTTTTAACGACGACATTCGTCGTTAAATTTTGACAACGACCATTGATTTCGTCGTTTGCAATTAACGATGACCTAAGGACTCATCTTTAATAAATATTCTATTAACGACGAGCTAATAAGTAATAACGAGCTAATAAGTAATAACGACCAAATAACCTCTTGTAAAATGATATGGTAATCATCCTAAATATTCAAATATTTGTACAATAACAGCCAAAATGTCATCGTTATTTGTAAATGCGTATAACAAACACCTCGAGCCTGTAACAATATTTTCTTTGAATATGCTATATATTTTGCAATAAAAATCAACCAAATTAAACATATTATTCACTAACATAATTTATCATCAAATTCCAATCGAAAACCAATAATATTGTCATACACCAACCGCATCCAAAATGCATAAATTAAAGCCTATGTTTAAAATCTTAATGCTAAAAATAATTTCTTAAACAATGAAAAAAAAATAAAAAACTACATCAAAGAACATAAAAAAAATAGTCTTGGGCATTCTTCATCTTACGAGTCATCGTCATCTCCTGGAATCTCTTATTCAACTTCCTTGGTTGCCCAAAGATTTATGGGGAAATTAATGAATTTGGAATACCTCTTCACAAACTCCTGTGAATAACAACACCCATATACCACACATTAACCAACAATCCAATCAAACAATTCCAAAAACAAAGGCAGTTTTAAGATTAGACATGCTTGAGCTCAAAAAAAAAACAGTTAAATAAGCAGAACTGTGCAGGAAGTCAGTGATACTAAGTTTCTAAAATTGTATGATTCTCTCCATGTTCACACTCCAAAAAAAATTTTATATCACAACACCAAAAGAATGTCTGCTAACAGGTTACTTACCTTGACATATCTTCAACCATCATCAACTATAAAAAAAGTGATATATATATAAGATCACTTTGCTTAAATCGAAAAACAGTATATCTTCTATTCTTGTTCCTTTATCTTTTATTTACCTCATATTTTCTTTATCTTTCTACAAATTAGAGTCGGGGATAAGATGGAAGGATAGTCAAGAAAAAGATATGACCTTATTTAAAACTAACCAAGATATAATCAAATGTAGGGAGGATGTCAACTTGGTGAGTGACTAGCAGGACAGTCTTTCCAGTCAGAGCTCCCATGACATATCTCTGCAAAAAATATTCATGTTAGTTAAGTAATAAAGGTTTTTTACTTGCATAAAGCAAAAGGAAGGGGAGTCTTGATCACATTGAATAGACTAGTCGCGGTGTGAGCATCAACAATTGAATGGATCATCCAGGAGGTAAAGATAAGCATCTTGATACAAGGCGCGTGCTAGCTGGACTCACTGCTTCTGTCCACCACTGAGGTTATCTCCTCTTTCCCCAATTACTGTGAGATCACCACATGGAAGCATGTCAATATCTTTTACCAATGAGCACCTTTTAAGTGTGTCTTGATATCTTTAATGATCCATGGAAGAACCAAATAGAATATTATCTCTTATAGTCACAGTTTGAATCCATGTCGTTTGAGAGACATAGGCAAGCTTTTCATAAACTTGCACCTGAAAATACCTGAAGCTAATTAGCAGTTAAAATCTCACTTAGTTGATAGTGCAATTTACATAACTTTTATGCATGAATAATTGAATGAAAAATGGCAAGTTGTTTGATGGGATCCTTCCTCGGTATTTTAGTTAAAACTCAGTAAGAACAGATAACAAAAGCACTAGTGGATCAATAACTATAACAAAACAAAAAACAGTGAAGAAAATAGGGCCTTACATTGTGCCAATAATGCTGGGAACTTCTCCAAGAATGGCTGCCAAGAGTGTGGATTTACCGGATTCAACCTCTCCGCAAATGGCTACCTTCCCTCCAGGTTTAACAAGTAATTTATATTCCTAAGGTTTGGCTTCATTGAGCAATCCCATGAAATCGTCGTGCTTCTGATATCTATAGACTTCTCTATCTCCTTCCCTTTCTTCATTGGCTGGATATGTTGATTCTGCAGCTCAGTTGCATCAAGGAACCTTATGATTCTGTCTAATGACACACTTGCTTGTATACAGGCTATGACAACAACCAGGATTAACCTCACAGGCCCCTGAACTATTCTCAAAGTAGTTAGAAATGTAAAAACATTACCAGCATCCAAAGGAATGCCTAAGAAACAGCATGCCCCAAATGTAGCTATAGACATCAATATAGGAAATGACCAGAAAAGAATCATATAGTACCCTTTCTATAGTAGCACAGCTGCCAGCGACCTGATTTCCATTTCCCTCAAGTTTTTGATGCCTTTCTTGAAATAATTTTCCAAAGCATAGACCTTCAGCCTTCATTGTCACCAAGGCTTCGGTTATGGCCCCCAACCTTTTATCCTGTTCAAACATAAGCTTTGTTTGGTATTTATGCTGCAATTTTCTAAGGGAGAGTTGCCAAGTGCTGCTATAACAGCTATCATTAATGCTGCAACTGTTGCATTCCCAACATAGTAGTAAATGATAACCAAAGCAATACACATTTGGAGAATCATAGTCCATATCTGATGGAACTAGAAAGGGAATTCACCGACTAGTTTTTGGTAAAGCAATAAGTAGAGAATAAAAAATAAGTAAAAAATGTAAATAAGCCTGCACTATCCATGATTATTATTATCTAAAAACCACCTTCTCCACCTCCCTTCTTCTTATACATTGTAAATTCTACTGTACCATCTTCTTCATCATATTAACCTCCATTAACACATCTCTCATTCGAGGAAAAATTGCTTTAAATAATACAACCTTTAGCCCGTCCGCTAAAAACAAGTCCGCCTTTTGATTATCCCAAAATAATACCACCTTTGGGGGGGTGTCCGCTTTAAAAGGTTATTACCTATTGGTAAGAAATGGTAACCTGATTAATAGGTTATATGGACACGTGTCATCATTTTATTGGTCAGAAAATATTTTTTTTTTTTAAATTTATTTAATATTTTTAATTTTTAAAAGATTATTTTGTTTTATTTTATATTTAAAAAAAAAAAAAAAAATTCCCCCACCATCTTCCCCACCCACCACCAGCAACCGGCTACCACCCCTTTCCCCTTCCCCGGTGTCTGCTAGCACCCCCTCCCACCCCCTCCCTGCCCTCCGACGCCGGCCACGCCCAGATCTCCTTCCTCCGGCGCCGGCGTCGACCCCGCTCCCCCAATCAGCCCCTCCCTGGCTGCCCCTTGTTCCCAGCCATCACCCCCTACCTCTTCCCTCTTACTTTCCCCTCTTCCCTCTTAATTTGGTTAAATTTGACCAATTAAAGCTTTAATTGATGAATTAGTTTGTCATTTACATCCCTTTCGTTCATATTTTTAGGGTTGCGTTTTTCTCAAGGGCGGGATTTTTGGGTTCGTCTGTTCGGGGATTGTGGGTTATGGGGTTCTGGGTTCGAAATCTGGGTTGTGGGTTTTGGGTTCATCGGTTGTGATTTTTGTGGTTCTGGGTTCGTGGGTGGTGGGTAATGGGGTTGTGGTTGGTGTGGTTGTTTTGAGGTGCTTGGTTGTGGTGTTGGTCGGTATTTCGCGCTGCTAGGTGGCGGTGTTGGGTGGTTTCTTGGTGCTAGGTGGTGGTGTTGGGTGGTTTTGTGGTGCTAGGTGGTGGTGTTGGGTGGTTTCGTGGTGCTAGGTGGTGGTGATAAGTGGCGGTGGTGGTCCGTGATTTCAGGTGCTGGGTTCTAAACTTTGATTTAATTTGGTTTTTTTTTTTTAAAGTTTATTTTAATTGTTAATCATAATTAAATGTTTATTTAAGAGATAATTAAAGTGTTAAACGAATTTATAAAAAATAAAATAAAATTGTTAACCGGTTATTCAGGTTGTAGGTAAAATAACTTGTTTAAAGCGGACACCTCCCAAAGGTGGTATTATTCTGAGATAATTAAAAAGTGGACTTGTTTTTAGCGGATGGACTAAATGTCGTATTATTTAAAGCAATTTTTCCTTTTTTAAAAGCATTCCTCTAATTTCTTTCTCTCATTTTCTCTTTCCTCTCTCTCATATTTCTGTGTAGGTTTTACAACTCATCAGATCACCCCAAACATTTTTTGCTCAAATTACTAAACTACCGACACTACCCAAATTAAACAAAACACCCATTTTTTCCCTCCCTCTCTCTCTCTCTCTCTCTCTCTCTCTCTCTATCTAGCTTTCTCTCTCTATACTTCTTTCAACTCATATAAGACTTCCCTAATACTCAGGAATTATTATTGCTCCGCCAAAACATCATCATTTCTCATATACAAAGTATGTAACAAATGCAGAAAACTTTTTAATTTTTGTTAATAACAATGATTCACCACAAAGAAGTATTAAAAACAATTGAGCTCTCCGAAAGAATAATGGATTAATAATTTAATGATTACACAAAGTAAATGAAACAAAAATAATTTGGGAACTTTTAAATTGCAGCTTAAATAGAACGGATTCAAATAGAAATTGACCTTAGTCGTGAAAGTGGGTCGTGCCACTATAACAATCGAGCATCGCCGCCGCCTTCTCGTTCGCCAAGAAAACAACTTATTGATTGATAGAAAGCTACAACAGCTGTTAATTCCACCACCCAAACTGCCTCCTTTACCTATTCCACCACCAAAGCCTTTACCTTTTCCGATTCCACCACCAATGCCGTATCTTTTACAAATTCCACCACCAAAACCTTGCCGCCATAAATGGAATAGGCGAAGAATTGAAAGAAGCAAAGGATTTTGTAAAAAAAAATCAAATACGGAGTACAAAAGGATTTCCAATCTAGGTTTTTGAGAGTGGTAAAATTATAAAAATGCTTCAAACATAGACATTAACGACCACATAAAAAAAGTTAAATAGGCCGCTCTAATTTTTTCTTTTAAAATTTTTAGGATGACCGCGCTCCTTAAGGTCAAATTTTATATTTTCGTGTTTTAATGAGAAATTTTTTACTCTTGTTGTTAATTAGATCAAAGTCTGTGTGATGCACGATTTTTCATACATATATCTCAAAAAAAGATAATTCCTATATACTCTAAGGTTTTTTTTTTTATATATATATATATAATTATTTGATTTATTTTACAATTTAATAATTTCAGACCAAAAATAAAAAAAATAATAATAGCTTAATTAAAATGATATTGCCAATTACAGAAGTATCATTTTTTTTTAATGTAATTTATAATGCGACTTAGTTTATTGTTGTTTTGTATTTTATTCGTTGTTGTTAGTTATATGACAATAATATGATCCCTTTCAAAAAAAAAATATATAATTATGATATTTCATTGATTACATATTAGGATAAAATCTTTAATGTGAAAAGATAATAATTTTTTATTTTAAAAATAATTTAAATCCTAAATCATTATTCGTTGCTTTTTACACTTGAAATTATACTCTCAAATCTATATATCATTTTGTATATTTCTTGTGATCTCTTGATCTCTAACAAATTATATGTCTTTTCAAATTTTTAGACATAAAATGTTTAAAGAAGGTAAAGTTTTTTTTATTGCATTATAAGTTTTAAAATTTTTTTATGAAAAAACATCTTATTAATGGGGTATTTAGATAAAAACATTAATTTCATAAGATAATTTTTATTTTTTTTAATAATTTAAATCCTAATATCCCACGATTTTTTATACATAAAATCTCATAAAAATAATTTTTGTAATTAGATTATACTCATAATATATTTGAACATTAAAATTAATAGTTATTAGATGTAATATTTCGATGTAAAAAAATTTGTATTAAAAAAAAAATTCGATAGGATCACCAACTTTGTTCACACCGATATCTCTTCCATCTAATAAAAGTGGATAAATAGAACATGTTATCAAAAATAAAATTTATATAAAATTAATCTTTATAGTCTTATAAAATAAATTAAAATATTTACCAAAAAGTGAATAATTGTTGTGAAATTAATCTAAAAATTGTAATTATACAAAATTAAATCTATGCATTGGAATTTTTTCATCATCCCCAATTGCCCAAACTATAGTATTTTGGAAAATTGAATCATTATTTTATTGTCGCTGACAATGCGTGCAATATTGCTTCTTATTTGTAATGATTAAAAAGTATCTAATAGAGTAAATTTTTTCCTTCAATCAATTTTGAACAAAATTGTAGAACAAAGTTGACTTTAATTGAGGCATGAATGTAATCACCCTATAATTAAAAATAAAAAATTAAGTTAATTTTATGACTTAATTAAGCTACCTAAATCACAAAAAATTTGTTTTAATCATAAAATTAATTGATAAATACTAAAAGGTTCATTACAAGATTAAATAAATATAATCGATTTATAAAGATATAATACCTCCTCATCTAATAGGATCATCAGGCGAGAAACTCGAACTTTGATATTCCAAAGATGTTTGCTCGAACATAATTCTCTGATTAAATTAGATCTGCATGTAAAAACAAAATTCAGTAAACAAAACATAAACATATAATCATTAAGTATCCTAAATAAACACAATTTAAGCAATAATCACAAATATACATTTAAACATTGGTTATAAAAATTAGGCTAAGAATTACCCAGCCATTAATGACGTAATAAAACTGACACAAAATTAATGACACAAAATTTGCTTGGTTTGGTTTTGTATTGATACGAAATTTTTTTGGTGTCGTACGACGTGTCAATTTATAATGGTAGGTATCACGATTTTAATTTAATTATAATTAAGGAATAATTTTATTTCTTATCATAAACACTATCAAAATTTATCTTATAATAGTAGGTATATAACTCCTATATCTAAAGATGATTATTTTAAAAGATAATTTTAGTTTTATAAATAAATTAAATCCTAATAAATCAATATTCTTTGTTTTTACTTACGTGGCAAAATTCTTAAATCTCATTCATCACTTTTGTTTAGGTGGCAAACGAATTTTTTAATTCCAAAATAAAATAGAAATCTAATTTTTAATTGGTCGAAAATATACCTTTGCTTATGTGGCGTGCCTAATGCTCTCGAAAAAAGCCTACTTTATTTATATATATTAGATTATTGGTCGTTGAAAGTGTTATTTCTAGTAGTGGTTGGTATATATCATTATTTTGTTTTTTGATATGTGTAATTTATTGGCTGATATATTTCTTATATGTTTCATTTAGTTGCCTAATACACGTATAAAATTCGATTTCAATGGGTACTTTCGATATTTTATTATTATCTTCTTGTTATCTGCTGGTTTGATTCTTTTTTTAGCTTATACTATCGTTTTGATAGATGAAATTATTATTTTTTATTTAAATTAGTTTTATTTCATTTTTATCATGTTATCACGTGCTTGTTTTTAATCCAATTTGTTTCTATTTTTTTTATAAACTACGAAATTACGAAATCACGAAAAAATAAAATAAAATTAAAAATAGAAATTTCAAGAAAGATTGGATTTATATCCTTATTTTAAAACCCTAAACCCTAAATCTCAAGAGTATACTTATTTTATCTTCAACCTCAAACTAAAATACACAGAAAAAGTAAAAATAAATCAATGTCAGACTTCAAGCAAAGAAATGGTAAAGAAAAAGGAGAAGATGAAGATGATGTAATACGAATATGGGAAATAGGATCATCTTCAGCACCACTGAGGTCATTCGAGATTAAAAATGCTCAAGAGATTGTAGAAAATGTAGTTTCTAACTGGAACAAAGATCCCAAAAATAACGTAGGGCAATTCATCATACTCAACCACATGAAAACTTTACTTGGAGGTTATTTAATGGCAACTCTTGTTCGAGGAGGTTTTAACGATGTTGAAGGTATAGATTTCCACCCAATATATCCCTATTTGTCTCCCTTAAAAATTGGTAAATCACCATTTTTTGGAAAAGTGGCATTTTGTTTGTTGTACAACTTGGTCTCCGTTTATAAATTTGCGTTTAGTTTCAATTTAGAGAAACTACATAGGAGAATCCTAAGCTGCATGAATTATCCTACGTTTCATCGGTATTTTATTAAGTTCATGGAGTTGTTCATGCCAATACATAGGTGGAGAGAAGAACTTGTTATCATGTTAGTGGAGAAGAGCCATCTAACAACATGTGGGGCTTAGTTGTTTTGGGGAGGGACATAATTGGGTTTAAGGACGAAGATAATGAATGTGGTCGACAAGTCTCCAAATTAGAATGGAGTGTAAGCTATGAGTGGCTAGGAACATATAAGGAGGATCCGTATGAAAACATCATATCCGGATCAGAGTACAAGAAATTCAAGAAAATAATGGTTGAGAGAACAACAGTATCTACACTACTAAAGCTATGGATTTCATTGAATTTGATTTCAATAATTACCCACAAGGATACTTGAACAAGTTGAATTTGTGCCTTCATAAGAATTGGTTAAGGGATAAAGACTCTGATTCAACAACGGAAGTTACCTAAGTGACGATTGGTCATCAGATGAATGGGAAGAAATTGAAAATATTATAATAAAATATATAATATATACTTTTAAAACTTTTTTTGTTTTAATCTGCTAATGAAATAATTTTCTTCATTGGCAGGTGTTACTTTGTTGACTAATATAATACTTTTTTGGCTTATATGATTATTTCACTGGTTAATATGTTACCTATTTGCTCTTGTCAAAAAAATAAAATAAAATTGCTCTTGTCAATAATATGTTACCTATGTTGACCGATATGATTCTTATTGTGGCTGATATAGCTAATATGTTTTTTTTAGTTGCTTGTTATTATCATTTTATTATGTAATATGTTTTTTTATGTTGGCTGATTCGTATCTTTCATTGGCTGATTTGTTATTTTGTTGTCTAATATAATACTTTATGGCGTATATGATTCTTTCATTGGCTTATATTATGTTTGTTTAGCTGATATGTTATCTATATTGGTATATATGATTGTGATTTTGGCTAATATGTTTTATTTAGTTGGCTGATATAATTTAATAGTTGGCTTATATATTTCTTTTATTATCCTATAAGATATTTTCGTTTACTTATATCATTATTTTGTTTACATTTAAAAAGTATTTTTTGTTTTATGAGATCATCTTAATGATGGCTTCTATGATATGTGTTACCTAATATCTCTTGGCTTATATAAGTATTTTGTTGGCGTGTTATTATCATTTTGAATTTGACTGATGTGTTCAATGATTCATATATTTTGATGGCTTATAAGATAACTTTATTGGCTGAAATCTTTATTTTGTTAGCTTAAATAGTTCAATAGTTCATTCTTTGGCTTATAATGAAATTAACCAATAATATAGTTTATCATGGTAACACTTATCATGGCTGATTTGTTCAATATAATAGCTTATGAGATCATTATATTTGCTGATTTTATTATTATTTTTTTATCTTAATGGTTTCATGTCATGTTTTATCATCAATTCGTTGGCTTATATGATACTTGATGTTGCCTAATATCATTCTTTCATTGGGTGTTTTGTTTTTTAACTTGGCTATTATGTTGTCTGATATTTTACCTATATTGACTGATACTATTTTATTCTTTGCTTATATAGTACAAATGTTTTAGAATTGAGGAAGTTACTCTAAATTAAACAAAATAAAACACTAATTTTTTTTATCAAGGAACAAAAAGTAAAACGAGAAAATATAGAACATATCAAATATTACATATGATAATTAGAATTATTAATCAAAAGCATAATCACATAAAAAAAACATCATTTAAATAGTTCATACTTATAATTAATAATCATATAAAAATAAACAAAAAAAACTCTCTAAAATCTAATTTAACCTTCAATTGTTGCTCTTATGTGCATACATATCAGTATTGTTTCGGGGTTTTCTGATGTCCTGCGGGAGAATTACAATTCCGAGACTGGAACCGGACGCCTGTACCAGCAAAACAAACGGATGCTCCGGATGATTGGAGATCCGCCT